ACGACTGTGCTTGTGTTAGTGTGACAGGATGATTGGCTGGATGTTTCCCAGTTTGCTGTAATAAAGCAGGTGATTGGCTTTAAGGGGTTAGGAGTAGGACATGTGTCAGACAACCATGGCCTCTTCTGATTCAGGTTTTTTTTAATGGAGTCTGTCCCTTACAACATCTCAGCCAGTGTTTCCGATCTTGTTCTTCTCTGAAAATGTGTTTTCCTCAGTCAGATAATATCAGTGTTATAGGTCACAGCAGTATGAGGACAAAAACTGAGAACGTTTAAGGATGGTGCATCACAGGTCGCAAAGTTATAAACACTTCACGGCAGCTGCCCTCAGTCGGTCGAGCACACAAAACCGCTTTTTAAGAAATTCTGCCATTTAAGTGTATCTAGGTAAAAATCATACACCATTCTATCAAGCGCTATCAGCTACCTCCTCTGTGATTTAGGTTTAACACAAGCACACAGCCTGTCATGTGTGTGGTTTTGAAGAACATAAATGTAACGTGATTGTAATATAATTTGACAGTAACATCATTCTATATATTCCTCCAAATTGATGCAATTTTGAGGCCCATTTAATTCATGCTACATGTACATTTTATTCACTAATGTTCTCTGTCAGAACAAATATAAAACATTCCGCGGAAAAGCTCGCTATATTTATAATTTTGCACACCCTGAAGTACCAGAAGATACAAATCAGTTAGGGTTGCTATAGTGGGAGGAACAGAGTTAAAATTCTGCGTTTTAATATTACCTTCATTCTTAAGTTGCTCAGCTCGTTCAATTTCTTCAGGAGACGGGGAGGTCTCTGGTATGGTCAGGTTGTCATTCTGCGCAATGGCAAAACAGGAGAGTCATTGATTTGATTAAAATGAACAGTGGCAGCAGACATTTTGGCCTGACTCAAGGAAAAGCAGTGGCGTAATTAATAACATTAGCCATTACGTCCTACCAGTTTGTTGTGCCAAGAAACCAGTGAGCAAGCACACACTGGCACATCTTAATAGGCTGCAGTCAGTAGCAAGAATGTTTTCACCTTTATTTGACAAGCATCTACTTGTTACATGCCGATGAGCTGTAAACGCTGAGTTGAAAAGTTCATGTGCACATGAGATAATCATCAAATGTTCGTGCGAAGTCTTACATACAATGCCGATATGAAGTATTCAGTTTACAGCTTTTATTGCTTTTAAGCATTGAGTCACAGTCAATTTAATTTAAATTTACAAAAAGTGAAAACAGATTTCTATGTATTAGTGTCAATATCAAAAAATATATAACATGCAAAATAACTGATTGCACCAGTATTGACCCCCTTTAAAGTATTTCTAGTTCTAATGGTAAATACCAGCTTGCAGCTCCTTTAGAGGACTCATAGGTGTCTTGGTGACCTTCGCTCACTGGTCTATTGTTTTCACAGTCGCTAAGATTTTGAGGAAATTGACAGGTTTGTGCCATAGCCCCTTCCATTTCTTAGTGATGGATTTAACTGGACTTCAAGGGATATTCAGTGACTTGGACTTTTTTCTGTATCCATCCTCTGAGTATTGATTCAACAGTGACTGGAGCTTCCAGGTACTGTTGTCTTTAGAATACAATCACTGAGACACATTCACTGCACTCAGATTATCTCCATTTCACGAACTGTGTGACTTCTAGCACCAACTGGTTGCACCTGTGTTGAATGAATGAGTAACTCTAAAGGGGGTGAATACTTATGCAATCACTTCTTTTATGTGCTATACTGTCGACATTACGATGCAGAAATATGTTTTCACTTTGACATGAAAGAGTATTTTTTTGTGAATTCTTGCCAAAAAGGCCAAATTAAATTTAATCTGATTAAATGTTGAAAAGCAAAATAAATGGGAAAACTTCTAAAAGGAGTGAATATGTATGTGATGTTGCTCCAGTGTAGCGTGCAGAACCCACCTTGAGAAGGGAATTGAGGAATATCTCTGTAAGCGGCTGTGGCACTGCAAGATGGCAGTCACTGGAGCTGATCTTGAAGGTAGTCTCCAAGCACTGTATCGCAACTGTAGCGGAGAATCAGTGAAATATGACCGAACAATTTAAGATACGAGCAACAGAACAGGTCTAAGAGTTAACAGCTTTATTGAGGTGAGTCAGGACTTGGCTGCACATTCAGAGGAAGAAATTGAAGCTTCTCTGTCCTCACACACATCAGACCCGAATTTATAGTCACTTGCTATTTGTTCTGATGATGAAAGCTGCTGTTTATTCTCTTGTGAAAAAAGAACAAATGCACATTACTTATTGATTAATTCTGAAATGGACAGCACAGAGCAGGGTGCCCTATATTTGTAAAGACACTTTAAAAGTATGAGCACACAGCGAGTCGACCTACCTTCAAGGCTCTCCTGCTCATCAGAATTCAAAGCACCGCAATGTGTTTGATCTCGTAGGAACTGCACAATAGAGAATGCCAGGCGCTTCTCCACGGCCATTTTTACCTAGAAACTGCTGGGCACAGTTTTCGTTTGGAGTGAAGGAAACAGAGAGGCAACCACACACAATGATGACGGTATTATTAATTCATCAAATGGCACTTCATTATAAACGTTAAAAGCACATGTTGAAGCAATGCATAACTAATACACAAGTCAGGATGAAATAATGCTGTTTTTATCAAACTGGTAGTCTGAATTAAACTTGCTCCTGCACTTAGCAAAATTTAAATCTAGTAATTGATTCATAATCTGAATTCTGGCACAGAGATGAAACGGTCCGCCTTCATTTCTGTATAAACTGTTGAATTTCTGCACCCTTAAACATGTCAGTTCACAACTCCCTGATTTCTCACCAGCTTCAGATGATATTTTTAGATGAGTTCAACCAGTTTCCTCTGCGCTGCACTTCTTTCAACAACCACAACAAAAGCATGCAGCCTAATAATGGAATAAATTAGAACTCACTTCGTAACCTCGGTTTTTAAATATAACAAGACTGTTCAATAAAAATATGCATTTAGACAGACTGAGCAGATGCGTGCTCTGTTCTATCTGATGACTTCCAGTGAATCTGGTAACATAAACTGTAAATTAATGTATGAAAGATTTGTGAATTGACTCATCTTGATTATTTCCTATTTCCCAAGAATGTAAAAGTATTGAGTATTTATCTGTAACATTAAATATTGATGATTGAATGAGCTGAAGTCAAACAACGAAAAAACATCTATGCATTATTTATGAAAAGTGGGTTTTTACCCCATTATTCTTGCTAAAAGCAGATTGAAATAACACATTTTTGGTGTTTGTTATTCATGCATTTAACATAATATCACGAATCACTACAGTGTTTTGTACTGTTATCACAAAATGTTTCGTGGGAGTTGTAATGGTTTGTTAAATGTTCTCACAGCTCAAACACCCAGGTGGACCGTAGAGCTGAAACATACATACTCGGCTATTTATAATGTTATTATCCAGAGCTACAGTATAAGAACAGCCCTGGATTCCCTGCATGCCAATAGACTTTTATTACTGCAACATTTGTGAAGGCTTTGAACAACCAAAACACAACATCAACTTCAGCAAAGTCTGCAGTTTTTGTAGTAATTTAATGTAGAGCTGCAACAGCTATTCCATTAGCTGTCGACTATTCAATTAATTGGCAACAATTTTTTAATAATAGATTCAGCAGGATGTCAGAGTAAAGAAAAAAAAACTCTGAATTCTCTGATTACAGCTTCTTAAATATGAGTATTTTCTGATTTCTTTCCCCTTCTATGTCAGTAAACTGGATTTCTTTGGGCTGTGGACAAAACAAGACATTTATTGTGTTGGGTTTTAGGAAAAACAGATGGACATTTTTCACCAAAACACCGAACAACTAATTGATTCATCAAGAAAATATTCAACACATTCTTATTGTTAACAGTGAAAATAAGTGTCAGCTGCAGCTCTGACTGTGTGGGTGTCACGTAGATGCAAAACAGCAGATTTTGAAATTTAAAAGCCTCTGAATTTCTGACATTTCATTTTTTTTATGTTGACAATATTGATCAGATTTTTTGTGCTCACATTCATCTGAAAATAATGTGAAAAGTAAATAAAAAAATCACCACAATTTGGCCACAAAACAGCAAATTAGCCCTCTAAAAGGATAATCCCAGCATATCGGTATCTCTTACAACTACAGCCATAAAGGATGCATGCAGCTCTTGTTTCCAAGACAACTCACGGAAAGATGAAAGCAAAACTATTCTTGTTTCTGACAAAAAAGAAAAAAAAAGACAAGAAGCATTGCTCCATTAAGCAGGTCGGCCACTGTTGCAGCTTCTTCTTTCTCAGTGTGACAGAGGCGGTTTGCAAACAATCTGAGCAGCAGAAAAAGGCCACAATATCTACTGTAATGGGACTCTGTGGGGAGACATGATCTGCAGACACAAACATTGCCTCATATTTGTGTCACGTGCTGACGCCATGCCTTGTTATGTTCGCTGGGCTGCTGCTCAGCCGCTACTCCTCCCTCGGTGTGTTGACACACGTAGATGCAGTGATGCAGGAGCTGTGATGTAATACCACAAATCAAAGACGCGTTTGGATTCATCGTTCTGCATTTAGATTTGAATAAAAAAAAAAACATTTAATGCATAAGAGCTAATTCGAGCAGACGACACTGGCAGGTGTTTTTTATGAAGCCTACAATAAGCCTGATCGTCCGGAACTCGAGCACTGTGCAGCCTGAAGAGAGATGCTGGCTAAAACCATCCTCAAGCAGAAGGCAGGAAAACAGCGTCAAGAGAGGCGACAGAGGTCAGCCTCGGATCCCTGCACGCAGCACGAAGCCAAAATATAAATAACATAGTGTCAAAGGATGCTATTCAGCGTCCCCCCGCCCACCTACCTGCGCTCTGATCCAGCTGTCTGCTGCCGCCGCGTCATGAGGGCTCGTGTCGGATTGAGCGCATCCTCCTCTGCGCCTGCGCGGTGACAGCGGAAGGTTTCCACATGCGAGGGAAAGAAGGAGGGAGAAAGATACGGTCAGCTGCTGCTGCTGCTGCTGCCGCTACTTCTGCTGGGATTCCGCTACAGTAAGAAGCCAACAAAGCGTGTTTTTGCGCATGAAACCGCCGGCATGTGCGCCCTGAGAGTTGTGGTTTGCAGGTACGCTTCACTGTGAGCGCTAAAAGCTGCTGAAGTCAACGCGCTTATTAACCGGCTTGTGTTTGAGCTGTTCAACTTGGGATTTGCTGTTCCTCTGATAATTATGACATTTTACAGCACGGCGCACCTGCTGCTTCTAAGTTTTGGCTGCCTGACAGTTACTCCGCTGTTTTACGAACTTGTTTTGTGAAGCCCATGAAACTCTACACTGATTAGTCCGTGGGAAAAGGTCACCGCTTAACGGGGAAAAAAATCCCGAGCACGTTTCATGTGTGACCTTGTACAATTTACTGCCTGTGTTAGTAGTAGCACCTGTTCTACTGTAATAGTGCCTTTTTGATAGGAAATATACAGTAATGTTGTCAACATGGAGGTGAGCGGTGTAGCCGGAAGTTATCACGACAAATGTTTGATTCTGTATCAGTAATTGTTGATCATCTTTAATTACCTATTTTAAGTAAAGACCAGGGAAAAAAATGAATGTAACCACTTAAGGCACACAGGTAGCAATTCTAAAGTTAACACAGCAATAAAATAAATTTAAAAAAACACACACACAAAAGCATAAATGTTCACACATTCATCCTTCCCTTGATACACATTAAGTTTAAAAGAAAAAAAAAGCAGCGTAGGTGCATGTAGGGCTGTCAGAGGCTGATCTGGACTGGGTGTCACTTGGCCCAGCACAGGCGTCAGCTGTCGGACAGCCAGGGTTGTGTTGCTTATGTGGCAGTGGACCAAGGGTTGTGGGTGTTTTTGGACCACGAAGTTGGTCCCACTAAGGAACCACCAGCCACGGCCCTGTGTGGGTGCAGGTCTCCTGAGGCAACAAGACCCAGTTGGCCTCAGACTAGCGTGCCTCGAGAGGCCTGCACAGCAGCCAAGGTGAGAGTGAGGATGATAGTGTTAAAATAATACATTAAAATACCTCATCTTACCTGAAGTCACCACTCCAACTCTTCACTGCAAAGCCTGTCATTCTGCTGGACAGAATATAGAAGATACAGACTCCAAAGCCCTTTTCCCTCCAAACCACTGCACTGACACAAAGAGAGATCCACTATGAGTTAAAGCATGGAAGTTCTAAATATATTATTTATTTGGGTAACATTTCAGCAGGAACAAGAGTCTCATGGTTGTTCTGGATGCCTCTTGTTTGTCTGTGCTGCGTTGCATTAGATTTCTGTGTTTTATTGCATAACTGCACTTGTTCTGAATCAGGGCACCACCCAGATTATAAAATGGTATAACCAAGAGAGCTTTTCAGCAATATGTTTAAGATTAAATGCAAAGAAAAAATGTATCAAATCAAATAATAGTCATCAGTCCTATAATCAGAAGCTGTAAATTCTGTTTTCATTCACCTTCAGTTTGTAAACAAAGAAGAACGCAGTAGCACTGGTGAAAATTCTCACACTAAATGTTTCTTAAGCAGCTTTACTACTAGTGCTGCTATTGAAAAGGTTGAAAAAGTTAAAAGTGACAAAGCCCTGTTGACCAGAAAGAAGCCCCTAATTAAGTAAAGAAAGCCAAAGTTAATTTAAGAAAGGCTCAGGGTTACAAATAAGAAAGACTGCATGGTTGAAAGCACTTAAAGGAAACGTAGTAAAGTCTGCATTCCATTCCAGCGAGTTTGCAGATAGTTTTGGAGAGAAATCCAGATCAGCAGCTAATCAATCATCATTGTGTTCGTCCACGGCGGTGGTGTTCGGCTTCACTGTCTGTCAGAGGTCAGAGGTCAAATACTTTAAATGACATTGAAATAATTTCTTAAATGTAGAGATTTGCGAATTAAATAGCTAATGTAGTTACAGAAATCCTAGTGAACAGCTGATTAAAGTTATATCAAACATAATAAGCCTATCTTTTACAATTTGAGAGATAACAACCAATAAGTTAACTATTTGTTTGTATCTGCAAAGTTCCACAATACATAAGAATACAAATGTATGGAGCAACAGAAAAATAGCAACATGTATGCTTAGAATAAAAGGCTTTTTGTGTCTTTTGTGATTCCAAGGTGTTTAAATCAATACTGAACCTGTAGGATGAGTGTCTTGTTTACTGAATCCAGATCCTGGAGAATCAGTCTGGTGATGTTGGAGTTTCTTCATTTTAATTTTATGTTTTAAAACTAATTAGTTCATTCTTCTATAGAAAGTTCTGTATGTTAGGAGGAGAAGAAGGTCAGGAGGTCACAGCAAAGGAATTCGAACTCTGCTGTATAGAGTTCTGCAGCGTGTCACAAATGACACCCTGACACCATCAATCATCATCAGCTTCTTTAGAAGGCAGAGGACGTCCCGTTGTGTCCAAGAGGGCGTTAAATTGTCTTGTTGTTGTAAACATCCAACCGGTTTGTTAGCTGCTGCCTGGTGCAGATGTTCCACATGTTTTGGTCGGTAAACTTTAGATGTAGGACGATTATTGGACATTCTGTTGGACAATGTTCTTACTTCTACTGATGAAGTGTCTATTACTGGTACATATTAGTTTATTGCCCCTCACCTACATAAACGTATAAAGTTAATGAAATGTGTCTTGCAGGGCCTTTAAGCCTCTACTGAGAATGACCATCCCGAGTGGACCAGTGATATCTGCCAGAGACTGCTCTCAGGTGGAAAACAAGAGGAGCACCTTGAGGTGGGACCTGTCTCCAGATGAGATCAGGACCCTGACAGAGAGCTTGATTGACAGAGTGAAGAAGGTCTACGATGACATTGGAGCTCTGAACATAGAAAATGTCTCAGTTGAAAACACCCTGGAAGCCTTGGCTAATGCCAAGCTGGATTATGCATGTAAGTCCTAAAGGATAAGTCGTTTGTATTCTTGTTCACAATTCCATGAAAAGACCAAACCCAACAATTCAATAATCCCACTAACAATAACTGCCTGTACATGTGTGCCATAGAGCTGCACTGTTGTCCAAAAGCTGTATAAAATACCTCAATGATTCTAACTGGTCCAGTCAAGGCCACGTTCCTTCGTTATAATGGACTTCAGCTGATGTTGAATTTCATTGTTGCGTCGTCTGTTGATTACTTGTTGATTAATAAGTCATTTCATAGAGTTATTTGTCTTTAAAATGGCAAAAAGAAAAAAATGTGCATCATAAACTCCCAGACAGGCTTCAGATGTTTTGTGTTGTCCGATTAACAGATATTCAGTTTACTGTCTTACCAGAAAATTAACACATTTTAGAGGCCAGAACTAGAGGTCGCTGGCATTTGTCTTTAAAAAAAAGAATGTTAAAATAATTAAGTATCAATATAGTTGCAGGTTTATTTTTTAACCAATCTGGGAGTTAATTCATCAGTCGCAGCTCTTTAGTCACAATACGTTCATTGAAGTCAATCCCTCATACCATTGATTTTCTATATGTTCTCCTTGTTCCAAATGTCTCTTCATCCTCAGCTGAAAATAGTCCCACACAAATGCACCATTTGCTCACATTTGAGTCAAGTTTGCTAAAATCTACAAAGGAGATTCCAGAGCCATTTTAACAATAAAAACACATATTTGCGATCTGTTTCTAAATATTTGAATCTACAGACCTCATGGGCTGAGTGCCACAAATCAGAAACACTTACAGATTCATCGATTCTTGTATTTTTTTCATGGGATTGGTAGACATTGTTTATTTTCTGTATAAGCTGTCCTATATTGTACAAATCATTGTAACGTTAACTGGCTCTTCCTCGTGTTTGCTCTCCTTCCTCAGCATCTCGCCATGTCCTTGACTTCCCCCAGTATGTTTGTCCTTCTAAGGAGGTCCGATCAGCGAGCACAGAGGCAGACAAGAAGCTGTCCGAGTTTGACGTGGAGATAAGCATGCGGGAAGATGTATTCAAACGCATTACTGTTTTGCAGGTACACCTTGTGTCACATTCAAGGCCTCTGGTCCGCGTAGCTAATGATGTGTTAAAGTAACCTTAATCATGAAAGTCTAATGTGTGAGGATCGGATGCATTTATCACTACAGCTTTGCCACTGATAAATTATTTTCACATTTTATGTCAGCCAGAGGGCAGCAGATGATGTATGTGCTCGGACCACAGCGTTTCATATTAAGATACAGGATACTGTGCCCTCAGTTAACCCCACCACTGGTTCTTATTTAGCCTGGACAAGAAATTCAATCTCCTCTAATCAGTAGTAGCCAAAGCCATGTGTTGTTTCATGCAATGCTGGCTGGCATGCAGCATCAACAGGGGAATAAATTTAGCAAAATGGCCTCAGTTCCCCCACCCCCCATATGAAAAGAGGTTTGTTTGTTTGGGCAGGAGAAGTTCCAGGATGACCTTTCACCCGACGAAAAGAGGTTCGCAGACAGACTTGTTACACTGGGCCAGAGGAAAGGATTGCACCTGTCGAAAGATATACAAGAGGTAATGCAATGTGTCATCACATTATTAAAACGGTAATTATTTAGCATGAACATATTATATGAATGCATTACAGTTGAAGGGTTTTATCCTCGATATTTGTTTTCTCAGTGTTTCATAATTGGGAAGAAAAAGTAGGATCAAAAGAGGAATCTTAGTTTGTACATTAAAGGATTAAGATTTTTGGTTAACTAAGTGCCGGTCTTTAGATCACTGCCTGTAATTCTTGACTAATCATGTTACATAATGGAAATCAAATTTCATTATCCGACATGGCTTTCTTGCTCTGTCCCTTTCTCTCTTGCAAGGAGATCAAAAGAACTTCCAAGCTAATCAGTGAGCTGTCCATAGAGTTTAACAAGAATCTCAATGAGGACAATACGTTTCTTGTTTTTTCTGAGCGAGAATTGGGTAAGCTCATTTGCATAAAACTATCTCTGATGGGTTGTCTGATAGCATGAATGTATTTTACATGCTTTCACTTTTGTCCTTTTCCTTTTTAGGTGGGCTAGCTGATAGCTATCTGAACGGACTGGACAAGGCAGCAGATGGACGGTATAAGGTGACACTGGAATATCCCCATTACTACCCCCTGATGAAGAGGTGTCACAATCCTGAAACCAGGAGGAAGATGGAAACAGCTTTTCACAGCAGGTGTAAAGAGGTAACTGGAGTCTGATAATGACTCTGTATATCCTATTCTGCCAACCATTAGTCATGTCCATGTTGCACAACGGATGATGCATTTACACCTGCTGTTGTCAGCATTCATTGGATTAACTGCATTTCTCTGTATTATTTTTTATGGATTCTTAAACTCTGTTAGGCAAACTTGTACAAAATCTAATATTGTAGGGTTTTAACCTTGATATTTAAACTTGTTGGGTGTCATTTTTGCCCTTGAAAGCACTTTTGGTTAACATCTGTTGTTTTAAATGTGATGTATAAATAGCAGTGACCTGACTTGACCTGTTGTCCTTTTTGGAGAAATAATTTTATTATGACATGATATGAATTTAGAAATCTTTTTGATACCATTCCTGGTCAACGTTTTATTGCAAATAGTGATTCAATATATATGGAAGCTGTGATCACTTCCTTAATCTATAATTGATGCATTATAGTTTGGCAACCCTCACACCCTCAGGGGATTCACAGTGAACACAACAGCTTGCAATCCAACATTTCTGTAATTTTGTTATAGAGATATTAGCCCTACTATCTTACCAGAGAGAGATAAGTTACTGCTAATACAAACCAAACATTTAATACTTCTACGCGCACATTAAAGAATTCAGTTTGCACAAAACACGGAGGAATTTAATGTGACTCCGTTGTGTGTAATACAGTGAATTTGTTACTATTGTGCAGAAAAATGTGCGTTCAAAATTTCAGCATTGTTGATTGTAAATGTTAGGCAGGATGTGATGGTACAAGAAGGTGCAGCCACAGTGAGTCGTTAGATTAAAAACAAGCGGCAGGTGACGAACTGCATATGTTGGATTCCTCAGCTAAGTCACAACTACTGTGACCTGGCATTGTATGGAAAGCGACTCACATCATTCACTGCACAAAATTGCATTGTTGTTATTGACGTGATAAGTTTGTGTGACTCCGCGGTTTTGTTAACAGAGCTGCGTGTCATGTCTGCTGTTGTACTTCTGACAAAGCTGCTGGTTAAGGAGTGGCCTGTCACGCTACCCTTATTTGTTATCCTTTTGTTTCTTCCTTCACCTTAACCGGTTGAGGCAGATGGCTGCCCTCCCTGAGCCTGGTTCTGCCGGAGGTTTCTACAGGTTAAAGGATGTTGTTGGTTTTCCCCCACTGTCACCAAAGACAAAGAGATTTGTTTGGCTTCTCTGCATCGTGGATATTGTAATGTCTTCAGCTTATTATGTAAAGCGCCTTAAGATGGCTTATGTTGTGAACTGGTGCTTCTAAATAGAACTGAATAATAATATGTTTTGTTGTTGCAGCCTTTCAAGACACCTTAAAAAACATCCGGCACAATGAGACATTTCTTAAGAATTCAAGACTATGATGAGGATGTGACATGAGCACATTGTAACAGTGTTTTATTGAGTATGCTATAATGCAGGGGTGTTGAACTCCGGTCCTCGAGGGCCACAATCCTGCATGTTTTAGATGCCTGATAACGATCCTGATCATTTGAATCAGGTGTGTTGGAAGAGGGAAACATCTAAAACTTGCAGGATTGCGACCCTCGAGGACCGGAGTTCGAGACCCCTGCTATAATGAAATTCTAAAAAAAAAAAAAAAGGGTTTTGAGTTGTGACATCTAGAGTCCAGCTGACCAATGTGTAGTGGTAGTGAGTTCCAAAGTCACGGTGCAGACCGTCTGAGGACAGTCATGGTGCTGAGTCTGAAAATTGGGGCAGACAGCAGAGGAAGGCCTGAAAGAGGGAGTGTAGGGACGGAGAGGGTCTGTAAGGTATGGCCAAACCAGCTTATGGAGGGCTTTTAAGGTGAGCAGAACCTTGTAATGTATCTGTTATTGATATGGAGCCTGAATGCGGAGGGTTGTGATGTGGTCAGTGATATGTTAAACCGCACGCTACCACCAGTAATCAAAGAGGTCCTCAAGTGAACCAGGAATTGAAATCCTAATGACTGTAACTTTATTAAGTGCAACTTAATGTACTCACTGTCTGTGTCTGAAGATTCTCAGTCATCCAGCTCATGGGATTTGTAAGAGCTAAGATGTTTCAGTACTTACATGTCTATTGTGTACTTTAGCTGATCTGCATATCTTCTTGTTTTTTTGTTTTTTTTTCAGGTAAACACAGCAATCCTTGAACAGTTGATACAACTGAGGGCAAAGGTTGCAGACTTACTTGGTTACAGTAGCCATGCAAACTATGTACTGGGAATTAACATGGCCAAAAATGCAAGCAATGTGTCTGACTTTCTAGGTATGAAGCCTCTGACACCTCAACTCTCTGCACACACGCACTCATAAAAACATTTTTAGACATTTAAGATGAAGCTTCACACCATCTGATAAAGGCATTCGTCCGATGAATAGCGAAGCAGAGAAATGTACACCTGATACCTCTTGTGCATTCATCACAGTGTAGTGTATGTGACACCCCATGCCTCTGTCATGCTGCCTGTATGTTATGTAACATGCAGTAATTTATATCACATGGAAGCACGCTCACACGTGGTCATATATACAACGCTGGAAGTGGCCAGTTTCTTATCATAGTGCGACTCAGTGATAGTTTCTGTGTTTTGATTTCTGTGTAGGACGAATGCAGCGGTAATAAAAAATTTATAGAACTTAATGATGAAGTTGTGATTGGTTTAGAGAAACATCCTGCTGTTTTTTAAACTAGCCTCACGCAAAGTAGTGATATACATTTATTCAGAACAAAAGGGCAAATGAGATCTGATTGTGCATCAGAAAATTCAGTACATGCTGTTTTTTTTTCTGTTTTATTTTCATGTATTGACTGAGTGGCTCCAGTGATTTGAAATAAGACACCTACAGCTAAAAAGATGAGATTCATCTTATGTATATGTGTGTGTGTATATATAAAAAATATATCTTTGACCATAAAGATTTCCTTCTCCATCTTTTACAGACACGTTCTATGAAACCCTGAAGCCCATCGGAATCAAGGAGAGGAAATATATTCTTGCACTAAAGAAAAGGGAGTGCTTGATGAAGGGCTACCAGTTTGACGGGAAGATCAATGCCTGGGACTTACCCTATTACATGAACCAAGTGGAACAGTGCAAGTTTGCAGTAAACAAGGACAAACTAATTGAGTATTTCCCGCTTGATGTGGTGACAGAAGGACTGTTTGGTATCTACCAGGAGCTGCTGGGTCTCAAGTTCACCGAGGTGGAACATGCACACGTGTGGCATGAAAATGTCAAGCTTTATTCAGCGCACGACGCTGAAACAGGCGAGGAGATCGGTCAGTTCTACTTGGACTTACATCCAAGGTAGAGAATGTGGCACTTTTTTTCTTTTATAGAGACAAGAAATCATCCTCATACCCTTCCATGCATAAAAAGTGTATAGGATAAGGTCAGCTAGCCTACCTGCATAGAAACCTGTAAAGATGAGGATATCGGTGACTAGAGCTTTTGATGTTTATAATGTCATTGGTGTTGATGTTCAGACGTCTGCCTGACTGTGACATTTTACCAGGGAAGGAAAATATGGCCACGCCGCTTGCTTTGGGCTCAGGCCTGGCTGCAGAGGACCTGAAGGGAAACGCAGGCTTCCAGTTGCAGCAATGGTGGCTAACTTTACCAAGCCCAGGAAAGGCTGGCCCTCCCTCCTCCAGCACCATGAAGTGGAGACTTATTTTCACGAGTTTGGTCATGTCATGCATGAGCTCTGCTCTAAGGTAGGCCGCTAAGAATTAGGGCTACAACTAACGGCCGTTGTCATTGTCGATTGATCTATTGATTGTTTTTCTTGAGTTTTCTGTGACCCCTAAAACCTGTCAACAGGTTTGAAAGGCGTGTTATCTTTGAGGTATGGAATCTTTAAAAAATAGCCAAACTTACACCATTTTTAAGCGAGAAACCATCAAAAACAAAAAGATTTGTCGCATTTTCAACTTCCTGACAGTCCTTAAACTGTTCATATGTGCTCATATATATCAGCACAACTGAGAATCCATGAGTGATGTAGCTGCAATCAACAGTCATGTGACAAAAATTGAGGGACTTTTCAGCTGAACTGCAGGCAGTGTGTACACACATCAGATAAGAGACAAGTCTACAAACAAATTAAACATGTAGGTAGAAAATATGGATAGTATGCAAAGCAACCTGTTTTTCTATCATTGGTATCACCTGTGGGCACTTTGAAAATTTTTAATTTTATATAAAATAAAAACTTTATTTTTTTCCATGGCATGTGACAGAGAAGACATTATTTGCGCTCTCTCTCCTTCTAGCCATGATTATGCTGTTTCTGTAGAGATGCAGAATGTTATATTACAGTAAAAATTAAGGCCACAGTGAGTTAAAACATAACAGGGTTATAAAACACAGAAACTGAATGAAGTTCAGAGGGTCAGTCAACTAGCTGTTTGGTCTATAAAGTGTATAAAAATGGTGAAAAATGATGACTGTTTACCAAAGCCCAAGATAACGACCCCAGATGTCTTTTTTTTGTCTGCGACCCAAAGATACTGAGTTTGCTATCATTGAGGTGGAAACTAACCAGAAAATATTTAAATTAAATAAGATAGAATCAAGGGATTGAACTGTTTTGTAAAAAAATCAAAAATCAAAAAATGAAATGCCGACCAATTAAGTGATTATCAAAATATTTGAAGATGGATTTATCATTGCAGCTTTACTGTGAATACACAGTTATTATATTTGCATAGTGTATTGTATATTAATTGAAATGAGACAGTCTGAACTTGTCCTGTGTTTGTATCAGACCACTTTTTCAGAATTCAGTGGAACTCTGGTCGAGACAGACTTTGTGGAAGTGCCATCTCAGATGCTTGAGAACTGGGTTTGGGAGAAGGAGCCTCTAAGAAGAATGTCTGGCCACTACAAGGACGGCACCCCGATCCCAGACAGTCTGCTCGACAAACTGATTGCCTCCAGAGTCGCCAACACTGGTCAGAAACTTCAATTTTAACAAGTGATAAAACGCTCTGTAAAAACAAATATGCAAAGATCAAGAGTGTTTGTGTCCTCTTCAGGCCTGATGAACCTGCGTCAGGTAGTCCTCAGTAAAGTGGACCAGTCACTGCACACCAGTCGTTGTGCAGACACAGCCGAGGTGTTTGCACAGCACTGCCAGGACATCCTGGGTGTTCCTGCTACACCAGGTCAGTTGTAACATTAGCAGCAGCAGGATGACAAGGTGAAGTCAGCATATGTTTAGACAAATCTCTGCATAAAGATTTCTATCTGTGATGAGAATTTTTTTATTTATTCATGTCCTATGAGGACAAACAAATACTTAAATCTGTCACACTTCTAACAAATAGGCCGCTGTAGGCATCTAAGGTTTGTGCTTAATATCTTGTATGAAGGGCACACAGTATAATTTTTCTTTTTAAATTTGTGGGGTCAGGAGAAATCTGGCAATGGCAAAAGAACATTTCCAAAGTTTCCAACCCTCACCTATGATCATGACCTCTTTTGTAGTGACCGATAGAATAAGATCACGGATACAAGCTGCCGTAGTGAGTGTCTACTGTCCTGTGGCTGGGCCCAGCCTTAGAGCTAGGGTGAGGAGCTCTAACATCCAGTTAGGAGTTGCTGCCCCTTGGCATCAAAAGGAGCCAGCTGAGGTTGTGATTGCCTCCTGGGCATCTTCCTTTGGAGGTTTTCTGGGCACATCCAACAGTGAGGAGACCTCGGGGTAGACCCAGAGCGTACTGAAAAGATTATATAACACATCTAGCCTGGGAATGCCTCGGGATATGGAGGCAGCCCCTCCCACTCTGGGGAACCATTACAAAGGGTTTGTGACGCTTAATCACCTCAATGGCCAGCACACGTCTCAAATTAAGCTGGGATTAATGAGGATAACAATTCTATATACCAGTGGCGTTTGTGTCAGCTGCCGTTGTGGCCTGTATCATGTGTCATGTCGTGGACTTTCAGCACAGGACAAATGCTGTATTTTATGTTATAAATTCAGCAATTATTGGCTGATGAAGCTACATTTGTTAAGAACATTATTTCAGTTTATGACACTTCATAAATTTGCAACAAAAACAAAAGATTGGGCTTAGGTTCGTACCAGTATCATCCATCCATCCATTATCTATACACCGCTTAATCCTCATTAGGGTCGTGGGGGGCTGGAGTCTATCCCAGCTGACTTAGGGCGAAGGCAGGGGACACCCTGGACAGGTCACCAGTCTATCACAGGGCTACACTTAGAGACAGACAACCAAGCACACTCACATTCACACCTACGGACAATTTAGAATCACCAATTAACCTCAACATGTTTTTGGACCGTGTGGGAGGAAGCCAGAGAACCTGGAGAGAACCCACGCTGCACGGGGAGAACATGCAAACTCCACGCAGAAAGATCCCCAGTGTCCTCATTGGGACGCGAACCGGCAACCTCCTTGCTGCAAGGCAACGGTGCTAACCACCGAGCCACCTTGTAGCCCCATACCAGTACCAGTCAGTTCAAAATTGCCTTTATCAGCCACAATCTTGATCCTAGGATCTGAAATACTGAATTAGCTGTGGGACACCGGATGGAAATTCGCCCTGCGCTAAATCCGCCATATTTACTGCAACCTGTGATTGTATGTTCATTAATACGCACTGTCCCGTCCAAATAAATAAATAAAGAAAGAAAGCTGTTGCTGCACCCATGAGCCTTTGGTTGTGCATAGCAGAAGGCTAAGCTCCAACATTCAGCGTTGGTAAATCTACCTACACGACCTAACCAACACATTTACATGTTACAGGAAAATGAAGTTAGCAGCTTCCTTGTCCAGGAGAACATCAAGCTCACAATAACGTATTGAATGGATGTAACTCCAGTTCAATGAGCAAGCTTCACTGGCTAGATTTTCTGAAGCCTGATGAAAAGAGCTAAGAGGAGGTGCAAAAGTCGGACTTCCATTCAGACCACTTGAATTACAATATTCTAAATTATTACCCAATGATGGCAGATTAATACTGCCTACCCCAGCTTTAATTATTTGTAACAAATTCCTTGTTTGTGTGATAACAACGATCTGTTCTGTGCAGGTACCAACATGACAGCCAGTTTTAGCCACTTGGCTGGAGGATATGATGGTCAGTACTACAGCTATCTGTGGAGTGAAGTCTACTCCATGGACATTTACTTCAGCCGTTTTAAAAAGGAAGGCATTATGAATCCAAAGGTTGGTCTGATGGATTATATCTTCACATTTGACAGTTACCATGGGTGCTTTTCATGATGCTAGCGTGTTTCCTTGCTTCCTTCACTTGTGTGTCTTTGCATCTTTGCTAATTGAGGATGCGAGGATACACCAGTTTTTCTGTACTGTAAGCTCTAGAAGCTTCCTCACTCCCTGGCTCTTTGAGTTAGATCCTCTAAGATGAAGTTGGACAATGAAAAGCACCTTATCTGTCTTGTTTTTGTGGAAATGTTTTTATCTAAACACGTGTGCTTTGACACAGGTTGGAAAAGAGTACAGACGGGTGATACTGGAAGCTGGCGGCTCCGTGGATGGAATGGACATGCTGAAAGCCTTCCTTGGACGTGCACCATGTCAGGACGCCTTCTTTCAGTGCAAGGGACTGATTAAGTCACAAAAAACCCCTGTTATAATCTGATATAGCTTTAAATTCTTTTTGTTATAACAATGTATATTTCTAATTGTCTGGATGCATGTACACAGTCGTAGAAAAATAGCTTTTGTTCAAGGTTTTGTACTTGATTTCTGCCTTTGCCTCGGTCTTTATGCAAATGTACAGCACATCCGGGACAGTCCCTCTCATGATATATACAATGGGTCCCTTTCACAGCAGTCATTTGGACTATAGTAGGGAAAGCAGAGGTGTTACTAATAACATTAGCAATGGCTGTACTCTATGTAAAAGTCCCAATAAGCCCTGGCAGTGTGACAGTAAGCCAGCAAGCTTCATTGACCTTTTTCACAGCAGACATTTTGACTCGTCATCTACGGAAAATCACAAGCGAAACTAATGTGGTTTATGTCCAGGAAAAACCATGAGAGACAGCAACACTGCACAATGTCACACTAATAGATAGTCTTATTAGTTTTTAAGATGGGGCAAAAACATCAAGATTTTGAGATATTTTGCTTTTTTTTTTAACATGTCTTCTTTTCATACTAATGAAAAAAAAAACATTAAAAATACATCCTAGTCTCTTTGCTTTTTCAGATTTCCTTAATAATGCATATTCCTAAAAACATGGCCATAAGGTTTTTGGGTTTTTTTTCTTTTTTGACCTTTGGCATTATGTTCTGATTTCAGATTCAGTATGTCTGCTTAAATGGTTATAAGCCTGCTCAGAATACTGGGATTATTATTTTTTTTAAAAATCAGGATGCTGAAAATGAATTTTAATTTTACTATTTCCACCTTATGGATTAGACAGTATGGATTAAACATTATTTCAAAACTACAGAGGGATTTGAAAATGGTTGGAGTACCAGCTTTTAAATACTGTGGGGAACGCAGTAAGTATGGGGGTCCATTCCTCTAGAATTTACAGCATTGAACACTTCATTTCCTGCATCCTGCTGTTTTTTTTAATGCACCAGTTTGTGCCTTTTCTGCATCGATTTATGGTGAAAATGTCTTTAAGGAAAACACAACATGTGCGTAAACTGCACAGGTATTCTCTTCAGGAAAGGCTGGCTACTTAACCTTAATTATTTCATGGAAAAATATTGTCTCCAAAAGCCATGACACTACTGTCATGACACCTTTTAAAGAACCTCCAGATTTCTCGTTTTAATTAGATTAGGAAAAAAAAACTTAATTATCATATTTTGCAGAAATACTTTAATCACTTTCTCAACCCCCAAAGCCCATTTGATGAAAGACATGTCATCTTTAAAGAAATTGCCAAATGTACTCAGTTTATCAGAGTCCTTGAACTACTCACCGGTGATTAGTTGCGATCTGAAAATAAACAAAATCTTCGCTTAACGTGGATATTTCATCAACATCACTTTATTCTACATTTGTCATGAAAAAAAATCATCAAAAATGAAACTTCCCAGACTATAAACACGGTGGAAAAGTGTTGATTCAAGGTTGCAGTTTGTATGTTTATTTATTAATTTCTGTGTGATTTAGTACATTTGAACTTTGTTATATTGTACAAAAGACATTTTGAGTTTGAGTTCAGCTTCTAGGCATAATTGTGTTTCTAAACGAGCCCACAGTGTGTGAGGGAAGAAAAAAAAACGCCTAGAAACTGCTTTGGTTCAGAGGGTTAAAATTCCATCCAAAGGAAAAAAAGTTATGCATCCAGCAGGGGGCGCCACGAGACAACACACGCTGATGTAAATAGTGCAAACACCTTTTGTATACATGTAGACGGGTTTAATAAAATGACTTTTTTTCCACCTCGTTTGTTGTTCTAATTGTTCGTACAACCCGTGTGTGGTACCAAACCAGAAAGTGAAACGCTGGGAGTATTGGGGGGAGATAAGGGAGGATCGGTGAGCGTATCTGGGTGAGATAGAGGAGGCAGCATCGCGGTGGAGCTGGAAAGGCGACTTCTGGTGGACAGCCTCCTCCTGCATGTAGGCACACAGAGGTCGCAGAGAAGAAACTCGCCGCTTCAGGTTGCCTCCATGTAGCTTCTTGGTCCAGTCTGCGGAGCTGCATTTACTGCAACTGATAAAAACACAAGGAAATTATGACTGCAAACATCTGGGTGCGGCACACTTCAGAGGAGAAGCTTCAGCTCTGCCGGAGGTCGAACGCATTTTTGCCTTTTGTATTTCCTTGCTGAATGTCGTGGACATTTTGGATTTTTTTAATGTTCTGTGTCATTAATTCGTACCAGTTACGGACCGTTTTGCCGTTGACGTCGCCTTCGCTTCGTTTGTACCAGTCACGCTTGGAAGGCGACACTTTGAAGTGTGAAAACAACTGGGGACGATAAAGAAGTTGAGGGCGGCTCGCCGAGGAGAATGTGCGCACTGGGCCAGCTCCGAGTTGCTCTTTAAGTGGGCAGCGTTAGCTAGCTGCTAGCACTAGCCAACCCCCGTCAAGGAAAACTGTGAAGCTAAGCTAATGCCCACTTCTCTGACTGTTTTTTGGATAGTAGCACCCTGCCTGTAACCCGGACATCAGCACACGAGACACCGACTCGACGGTAATTTAGGTGAGTGTCTTTGTTTCCTCAAGTTTCCTCCTCCTGTGTGTGCGGGGCCCCGTACGACATGCTAACACCACCGCTAGCTGCCTGCGCCGAGGATCGCCGAGGTCCCATTCTGATGCTCGTCCGACTCGATTTTTAACTGTGAAATTATAACCTTTGCATGTTATCAGTTTAGCAAGAGTCTAATACCACGGTGTTTTTTTTTGAGGGGGGGATTGCATCAAGAGAGCTGTGTGTGTTTTCGGTGGGTTTCACATCACACAGCTGTACATGGCTGCCTCTTTTTGCAATGCTGCTCGATTGACTTTTATTTATTCGCAATCGGCGGAGAATATCCAGCATAACGCAGGGTGGTACATATAAAGCTGTTAATCAATATATGCCCCTGCCACCCACAGTGTCAGTCATGAAGCCAACAGCTGCACTGCAACAACAGCAGCAGCAGCAGCAGCAGCAGCACATCTTTTGTTGCGGAGCACCTTCACCGCTTCGACGGATGATGAGGAGGATTAGTGAGCGTTACTCTCAACATATCGCCGTTTTCATTTTCCCACCACTTCACTAATCAGATTACTATCCGCACTTAACCCCACTGTGATTTAATCCTGTTAAGATTCCAGATACAGCCGGAGCTAATCTCTGAGTTTTTTTTTTATTTATTTTTATTTTATTGTATTTAGATTTTAGGAATCCGTCCATGCCCTTGTTTTTTTTATTTTTTTATTTTAGTGTTTGTCATCTCTGGAAATGCTGTCACAAGGTGCAAACCCTGAGAAATGTCACCATGAAGCCAGCAACGCACAGGTGGAGATAAATACAAGAAGCAAGCCTGTGGTTTTAATTCTTTTGTCAGCTATCTGAATTACATCCGTGAATGCATTGTGGTTTTAGGTGTCAGTCTGAGATCGTGCTTCTAATCTAGAGTTTTTCCCATGTCGAGTGAAAGCTCTTATACTGAATCAGAGATATTTATCCAAGTATGCTGGTTATCTGATAATACAAGGCTCTAGTTTGTTAAGACATTAACACTGCATACATATAGTTGGCTGATAAATGTCCTTCAGGCTGCTTCTGCTGCCTTAAAACTCAAATTTGATGTCTGGTGTTGTCATGTACTTAAACTGATACCATATCTGATTAGGCTTAAAAGGCCATCTTTGCTGTAGTAAAATGCAAACAAACACTAGGAGCTATCAGCTGCCACTTGTCTTTGTTGCAGGTCCTAATCTAAGAGCTGATAGCCAGCTGTTTGTAGTCTGTTATCCAGGTATTCATTGTAATATTGACCAAAAATATGTGTGATGTAACACATCCATTACTACAGAGTTTGAGGTATTGTATTGAAATGTGATCTTAAAGCCACATTTCTACTCCACGGATCATTGATCTTAAAAAAAGGTAAATGCTTAACCGATTTCCTCGGCGGATGTTCAGCATGAATGACAGAAACACGCACCGTATTCCATTGAGGTATTAAAAGTCTGTGTTGGTATTTTACTTATCCAGTTCCTCATATGATCATTTACAACACACCTGAAGATAAGCTGCATCGTAACAAAGACTTTTTTTCTCACACACTGTGCCAGTGTTGTGTTGTTAGACTTGTCCTACACTTTGTTGTGCCACTTGGAGACTGAATGAAAGCTAACACCTGACCGCAGCAGCCAAGCAGTGTTTCCTTATCTGTTGTTATACACCAGAAATGTTCCTCTGGCTCCGTAATGGTTAATCCTAAGTCCACATTGACGCCCCTGTGAGTTTTTCCCCCATATCTCTATATCATACCAGAAGTTGGACAAATAAAACCTTTAGACCGATTAGATCATCTATGTTGAAACTTTTTTTAATTTGAACAGCCCCAACCTGTTTTGTCCAGCAGCTCTTAACTCAGCCAGGTTTTTCCATGGCAGCATTATCATTTTAAAAGCCTTTTTACTCACGGGAGGTGATGTAATTCCCTTTGAAACAGGACACAGAGAGTGATCATCGTATACTGTAAACCAAGAGGATATTGGGTGAGGAGAAAATAAGGCAGTGAGAAGGGTGGGATTTCTCTTTAGGTTGGACGTTTTGTTTACACCTTGTTAAACAAATACATGTGTATTGTTTCGTTATCAGTGCAGCATATGGGTTTGTGTAATTACACTTTATAGCAGGTAGGAAAGTTTTTTTTTTCTCCCTTCCTTTTAAATGTACCTGCTTGTCTCACCATACAAGTGCTCATTTCCTCTTTAGCAAATCTAGTCTTGATCTGATTCATCTGTTTTTTTCTACCCTTGCTGTAAGTGGGAAGGAAAACATGCTAGTCGAGAGAACACATAATCAGTGACTAAACACTCATGTGACATTGTTGATGAATTGATCGAGTATTGCAGTAGTAAATAAAGACCTGTGAGAACATTTTTGTCATTTTGGGAAATGAGCCGGTGTTTGCTGTGGCAGTTTTTCCAGTGTGCCAAAATTAATGTTTTGTTGCTAATATATTGCTGCTGGCTGATGATTAAGCCTTTGTAGCACTAATTGGTTTTTTACTGGCAGAGTGGAGGAAATAATATATTTCCATTCAAATTTACTTTTTTTCCCAGCGAGAGAAAATTTTTGTTTAGACTTTTTTATGGGTTAGCATAGAATGATCCCACATATTATCGCTGGTTTCAATTCAGGTAAAATGTATTTACGTGGTGCACTTGCCTTTATACTATTCTTCTGTTCTTTAACAAAGAGGCATTTTAATAGTGTAAGCTGCCCTTCCCTGTGTTATCAGGTGCCTGCAGAGTGAGGTGCTCCATGTTTTATTGGGACTTCCAATTAATCGGCTTGCTCGAGAGTGCTTTCTATGCTAATCATAATTATGTGATCAACAGAATATTGCATTTAATTTGCTAATAAGTTATTTTGTCCTTTTTTTTAAAGAAGAGAAACAGTGCTGATTTGCAGCCTCTTACTTGAGGGGATTTGCAGTTTGCTTTATTGTCATTTTGTGTCATAGTACGTTGAATACATTTTGGACTGTTAGCTGGTGAAAACAAATCATTTGGTGACCTAGGGCTTTGAGCGAAGTTGGCCAAGTGATTGACAGATCTAGATAATCATCAAGAAAGCTATTGTAAGAATAACAAATATTAAAAATAATTTGAAGTCGCAGCCCTAGACCCTTAGAATGGACAGATTAATGGGAAGATCATAAACCGCATCAACCGTCAGCTTATGCTCACCCACTGCCAGTAAAATTTATTGATGCATTTTGTTTTATATTAACACCAGACCACAAATAAATTGTCAACATGTGGGAGTCAGTGCTTCATCGTAAAGACTGGGGACATGTGTGCTCTGCTGGAAACAAACTGGTACAATTGAACCGTGGCTGCATTAGCTTCAATCATACCAATTTTAACATACCTATTAGAGGGTGATCGTTGGCTGTCCACCTGGGTAATTAGCTTAAATTATTTAAAATTCTTAGTGCCGGCAGCTTCCTTGTTGTGATTTTAAACTCCCAGCAGAGCTCTACAGTGTAATGGTCTTTAGAAATGTTATCAGTCCAGTGGGGAAACTAAAGTTTGACCTGAGCATCTTTTATGTGATGTGATTAATATAACTGGCACTCCTTTAATCCATGCAGTCATACATTTTACTTTAGATATCACTGGGCAGAAGACGGACCCCTTCCCCTTTTTATTTTAGATGTGTGTTATATCTGATCCTACAAGAGACGAAGAGAGTAAACGTGGAGTTGACATTGTCAGCCAACTTCTGTTCCAGTGCTCCACTCTCTAAACAGTGTCAGTGTTTAAACTGGTGCGACATATTTGTCTAAGCTGTTAGTAAAATGCAGTGTTTGTGCACGTGGTCTCACTGGTTTTGGTATACGCCTGTCAGGGTAGTGCTTTTTTTTTCTGGTAGCATTTAGGCCTTTTAATGGCTTTTTCATGACCTGTTGAAGTCTCAGGCTGCTAAGAAGTGCTTGTAACAGGTGAAAGCTTGCACCACAGAGAAAAAACATGGATGATTTAATTTCAGGTGCTGACTACAGTTTTGACGTTGTGTGGTCATGTGACAAAGCGATGTCATGGGATTAGTCAGCGACCAGATGATGACCATTTCTGGTTAAATTGTTGTTATGCTCACGTAGAGGAAAGGGACAGCTGTATGCAGGTAGCTGACCATCTTCTTGTGGAGATAATTGTTACCAAGCACCTGCAAAGATATTTTTTTGCGTGTGTGTCCTGATGATAGCACAGGATTAATTAAAGTGAGTTTTCCGTGGCACACTCTTTATAAAAGCAGATGACTACAGTAACTGAGGCAGCACAGTTAGCTTGATGTGGAGCAGGCTATATTCAGACTAGGGCTCTCCCGAGCTGATATTTATAATTTATGACAGCTTTTTAGTCCCACTGACCTAACTCATGCTGATAAAAAGCACCGACTCTTCTCTTTATACAACATTTGCATGCTCTCAAAGAGACTAATTTGCTGTAACTGTTTTTGAAAATACATCAAGTGTCTGTGAAATATTTAACAGCTTTTGTGTAATGGTTCTCAATAAACCTAAAATTAGCATTGCCGAGTTAATTTGTAGAGTATTTTGTCACCAGACTGGCAGCACATGATTTTGATTTACAACATGAGGAAGAACTGTGAGACACCAGCAACATTTTGGGCATCATTTTGTTCGTCATAAAGATAAATCAGTCAGAGATACACCGTATGTAGCCTGTGTTTATTGATTTTTCTTCTTGGTCTGTTGCCCAGTGGTTGTTAAAGCCGGCTTAATAAATAGCAAATAATATCCATTAATGCTCGTAGATATCGATGTTGAATGAATAGCGTATGAAATGTGATAGAAGCCTTTCAGAGAGCAGGTGGATGGCACTTAACCAGTTTCGCATCTGTGTATTGACTCATTATTTGTGTAAAAAAAAAAAAACAGGTAATTTGCATACCATTTGACATTCTGGTGTATTGGTTTTAAATGCATCTGTGCATTCAGCTTCCCCCTAATGATTCCTTTGCTGCTGTGACCCAGTTAGAACAACATCTGTCTCTGCCTAATTCAATCTTGCTGTCTATCAGCAGGTATGTTCATGAAGTCAAATCTGTCTTCTGTTTGGTGTCTAATGACTAAATCAGACACAACAGAAGCACTCCCCCTGCCAAATATATCGGACAAAGTAAAGGAGGCTTATTAGGGGTCTGAAAATATACCATTTTTCTAGAGGAACTTATGTAATGGAAGAATTTTGCAAGGGGTTTGTTTACCAAATTTGAAAGAGGAAAGAAAAGGGAGGTTTTTAGAAATAAGCCCTGCAAGAAATGGTCTGTTGTAATTACGGCGACAGATAAGCTTAGTATCGCTGCTATAAGCTGCCCTCAAACTGTACATCCCAACTGATTTTATGTGCAGTGGGCTTGGCAGCGTGATGTCTATAAGGTGTCTGCATATGATAAGGGTGTCTACATATGATAAGGGCCTGAGCGTCTGATAGGGCACACAGTCAAGCAATGCAAACAGTATAGCCAGCATCATGTGTTTATTCTATAAACAAGACCTACATGGATTAATGTTGAAGGAAAGCATAATATCCAACATCATGTATCCCAACTGTAAGGAAAAGACTCAAAAATAGGCCGCATGTCTACAGAGTGGTAAAAACACTGTCGCATGCAGAGTAATTCTAACAAACTTCAGCTTTTTAGGCACATTTTATAGATTTTTAGGTCAATCTGTCTTTGAAAATGGGCTTTTTACACATTGCAGTTGCCTGCTTTGGTTATATGATATTAGAACAGAATTTTATTTTTCCTGTTGCAGTGTGAATCTTTTTTTATGAGGTTTGGGAGCCTGATGCGGCTCATTGCAGCTTAGTTCATCCATATTCATCAGTTTATCTCATACTGTGGAGCATGTAGCCAAAAAAAAAATAAAAAATCTGTTTTTTTTATACCCTTATATGGAAAGATATTTTTATAGATATTGTGGGCTGTGTGGTACTTTATTGATGAGGAAGTGATTATGCATACAATGTGCAGTTTTCCTCCAGTAATCCTCTCTAGTGTTTGTAGGCAAATGTTTTTATGCAGCTTTTCTTAGCTGAACTTGCTGTTTAATTCCCCCAAAAGACCAGTACTTAGATGCTATCCTTAATTATTTCAACTGCATGGTGATAACGGTTTGTCCGTGTTTTCTAGCTGGAGCACCTTGTATTCATAATAGCTAAGGTTTTGTCAACACCCACTTGAGATGTACTGCAGTTCAAATCTGGTGTCTGTATGAAACTCACACATTTCTCAAGTGACGAGTTGGGATCACATGTTCTCCTGCCTAAAAATCATCAATCAAATCTCCTACAGCTGATGCTCAAAGGTAAAATAGTGCAGACCGCCAACAAAATAAATCCAGACAATCTGTTTTGCTTCTGATCCACCTACAGGGTTCTTATTTTTATTGCAGAAACTACATTTACTGCTCACACATAGTACCAAATTAAGTAAGTGTGGTTTATGACACTCACATTGACCAGATATCCATATTCAATACACGTATCAATGTTTTGATCACATAACAAGCCACAGTCAGTTTCAGTTCTGTGAAAAACATTTCCCCCTTCGCTGAGATATTGTTAAAGTGAGAAAATATCACTTGTGTGCACAGGCAAAGTAGGGGGTTGGAGCCACAAAAAAAGCTCTATGTTTTGCTTCCAATCATTGAAGTGTGCTGCGATTTAAACAGGCTGAACAGGCACAGGCTGTTCAGCGCCTTGTTCACTGACCCCAATACACTGTAGCCTGCCTGGGATGTCATGTGACCAGTTGCAGTTTTTTTTGTTTTTTTGTTTTCATTGCTTTTATGTCCGTTTACCAATTGTGTGAAAAGCCATACATATTGCGTTCATTCTCACCTTTATTTGTAAACCTTCTCATTTACTGATGATCTCATGAAACAAACACACCTTAAACTGCACAGCACGTACCAGTCTCCGTGTTTGGTTACAACATCATGTTTGACAGCCGTTTGACAACAAGGCAAATTTGATTTTAGCTTGCAATGTTGTGCAGAGTCAATTAGCAGAGGCTGGCCAAGACAAGAGAAATTGGTATTAATAATACTCAATTAGCCCAGTAATCAGAAGTAATGGCGTTATTAACATAGCAAACAAAACAAACAAGCGCCTCTCTTACTTGGCTCCATCTGTGTGATTGACTCTCTGAAGAACAAACATAAGCCCAGCCTTTCCGGAGTTTAATGAGAAACTGAGACAGTTCCATTTTTTATTATACTGTGTCAGAGATAACATTTTATATCTTATGTCTCCATACGGCAGACATGTCTCTAAGGACTTGAAAGACTACGAGTATATCATTTTCTACCCTCGTATCCCAATACAGGCACTTATAAATAATTATTTCACAAACCTACAAGCAGTGTTAATATCACGTTGGTTGATATTCGTAGCCTATAAATTTAAACAAAATGTAGATTTAACACTGTACAAAGAGATACAGACATTTGTGTCCATTTTAAATATTACTGCAGCACAGAAGTCTCGATGCTGAATCACAGAAATCTTGTTCAGATGATTTCCTGGTTCTGGACTGATGATTGTTTTCATTGTTCACCAGTCTGTTGATGATATTCTTGATTAATTGTTTGAGTTGCGAAAAACATTGATCAGCTCAAGATAATGTCCTCTAATGTCGTGTTGTGTCCACAAGCCAAAGATAATTAGCTTATGGGCGTAAAGGAGGAAAAAGAAACGAAAATATGGAATTAAAGATTACTTTTTTTGCTTTAATTACTCAAACCAACTAATTGATTATTAAAGTAGTTGGTGATTAGTTCATTAGATGACAAGTAATCAAGTAATCAGTTAATTGTTGCAGATGGATCCATTACCCAGCTACTTTTTTGTTTCACAGAACGACTGCAATGACAATGAGGCTTTCTGAATGAAAGGCAAGTAGCTTGCAAAGGAGAACAGAACAATCTGAGCACAACTACCCACCAACACCCCCAATTTGAAACTGACGCGTCTCCTGCTTTATTCCTGTGTGTGAGATTGAGGGGGGGGGGACTTTTGTTTGGCAAGATTCCGTATCCCAAATAGATGTGAGGAGGATAAAGGCACCCAGGAGGAAGTGGAGCAGAAACTAATGAGTGTCAGTGCAGTCCAATGTGTTTGCAGCTGATTGGGAGACGCTATGAATAAGTCAAAATTTCTCTTCCTTTCTGTGTCTTTCTCCTCCCCTCGTTCGCTGCTTCTTTCTCTCCCTCCCACTTTACCGCTGTATAGCTCTATTGTGCTCAATGAGGATAGTGGAGGGATGATCCTATCTTTTAGCTGGCTCAGTTTGTCTCAGATCAGCTGGCAAGGCTAATGCTCCTCCAGACATGCACGGACAATGCTGTGGTGTTGTGCTCTGACCTGAGAAGCCAGATCATGTTTCATTCCTTCTTGTTAGGGGTTTTGTTTTTAGACGAGCTGGATTATCCTCGTAGAATGGGAGTTTTTTTTTGTTTTTATCTGTAAAATACAGTGTATGTTGGACTTAATGCTTGCTGTAGCAAAACGGTTTGATCACATTTAGATTCTTGTCATGTTTTTAATTTCCCAGAATATGTTCTAAAATTCCATCAGCATAATATGAAACTTATTAAGAGTTGGACATGGTGAAAATTAATTTATAATGTGCTGCTATCTGTGCTTCATGTGTGTCCTTAGGCAGAACTAACTGGGCACATAGGAGGAGTGCTTCTATTTCAGTATATCCTTACTAGCCTAACAGATTCCATCTCTGTTTAACAGCTCTGTGTTGTTACAGAAATATTTGCTGACGAGTCCAGTTTTTTGTCGAACATAATGAACATTAGCTTCTACACTTTACAAGCCTGCCCCTCACAAGCATAAGTTAAAGTGATGATAGAGGAAAGAGGTTCTTTTGACCTAAATTTGACTACTTAGCATGCACCATGAAAAATGTGCCTTTAACAAGCCTAAGCGGTTTGGATTTTGGCAGTTTTCCATTAACTTTTATAAGGCATTAGACAAATAGTTAGTATAACAATATGTGACAGGTTCTGTGAAACAAAAGGCGTCTCATATTGTAGTGAGTTATTTTTAAGATCTTGTTACTTTAAGCAGATGATTATGATATCATTACCAGAAATGTTGTACAGTGTTATGCATTGTAAAACGTCACCATAAATGTATTGTAAGGGGTATCAAAGTCAGCAGCTTTTGAATTCTACTGCTGTTGGCTTTAATAACTTATGACAAGATCATGCCACAGTTAGTCGGATCTTTAACCTACAAAAGAAATACTTTACTAATGGTGCTAAAGCAGTCAGAAAGTTGTTTGGTTGTAGCGTACGACTGATATGTTGTTGTTTTTTCTGGGCAAAATACCGACTTTTAGTAATCAAGGAGACAGATATCCAATGTTAATGAAAGTAACAATAAAACAACTCCAGACCCTGTTTATGGTTCACATGTGTAATTAAAAGAAACATTTTCGCCATTTATCCTTCAGTGTTGATCGGCTGTTCGTGTCATCTGATTGGTGACATGCAGCTCATCAGATGGTGCTGTGGGCAGGACATTGTTCCATACTATGTGTTTACTGCAGATGGAGAAGGCATTAGTATGATTTTAACTTTAGCCCACTTGAAACTTTTTTTTTTTTTTTTTAATTATCCTGATAATCTGAAAAATGCTGAATTACACATCCAATAGTCGACCAAGTTGATAACTGCTTGTTTGTGCCATTTAGTTTTAAACTGTGTTTCTTATGTTGTGCTTTATCTTGTTTTTTTTGTTTGTTTTGTTTTTGTTTTTTTTATTAGATAAGCATATTGTCGTTGGATCTATCATCAGCCATCCACTGGGATCCAGGCGCTTGAGTTCTAAATGACAAGGTATGTAAAACAGCACGCAGCATGTCAGAGAACTTTCTATTACTAGACTTCATTTCTCTATACATTTCAACAGAAACTGATTTTTCAGTATTACATGACCTGGTGGAGGCATTTGGGTGACACATCAAATACTTCAGCTACAGGCTGGCTGATTGTAGGTTTTATTTTTTGGATTTAGCAGTAAACTTCTGTATCTTGAAGCAGCCGTGTCTGTATGTGCTGCGTTTCTTTCGCTGAAGTGATGTTGTAAAGTCAAACATTAGTCCCACTTTAACAAGAAACAACAAGAGTGCCCCACCCTGTTCTCCTGGAGGCCAAGAGACATGATACACCCGCCAAACTTGCTCTGTGTGCAATCAGCATCCTATTTCATCCTAAAAAGGTCAGAAAATAGCCGTCCTCAGATATTGTTCAGCCCACGTCAACCTACTGCATGACCAACACACACTCCACTGCAGGATAAGCTCGCCTTACATTTGTGACATTTATCCAATACGGCAACCTCAGTAAGTGTGGCAGCAAAAATCCGCATTTCGTATGTCTGTACCGAACGCCATCTTAATTTGGCAGCATGGTCATTCAGACTGTTTGAGGTGTTCTCATTGTGCCCCTTAATGAGTATAAATGTGCTTTAGTCTCCGTAGGTTTCCATTGGAAGAACATTTAATGCAGCTGCTTTACAGTTTTGCCAACAAAATACAGTAAAATTGCACTTATTGTGGCTGTTAACGCAAGAAAGAGCTATAAGCTATCAGGACCTGTGAAACTGCTTATTGTGGTCATGGAAAACATATATTTACACAAACAGTCTGAAGGCATGTTTGGTCAACAGGCTGCCTGAAGGCCTCAGTTTTGCATGGAAAGGACAAAGTGGTCAAAAAGTCCCCACAGGGTGCAGATTGTATTACGGTTGTCTACACCGATTGAGAAAAGGCTCCTATTGAGCTGTGAGTATGATAAATATAGTTATGTTTTTATGTAATAGCTTATAAAGCTATCGAGTGAAGACCTCTGTGACCTCTTTCACAGTCACAGTGCAGTCACGCATGCTTCTTGGTTTTGCACAATTTGCCAGTGTTTTTGAATAACCGAGTTATACATTTTTTTCTGTTTTGGTCGTTATGTTCAAAATGGTGTTTGGAGATAGCACATTTCTAAACATGAAGGACAGGCGCTATATACATAAAGTCAGTTTGTCTCGGGGACACTATGGATGCACCCGTCTTGTGACTTGAATAGTGAAGACAACTATTCCGGATGACAGAAGGCATGTTATGTTAACCCGCTCCTATCTGAGACAGCTTTTTTTTCTTTTTTTTTTTTGTCTCGCTGATGGGAACAATCTTGCCTTTCAAATGCTGGCGTTTTGCTATGTCTGAGGTGCAACAACTACTTGGCTTTTGCCATGCTGTTTGCATAGTGTTCACAGTTCTGCAGGGCTTTTCGTCATTTGATACCGGGATCTAAACCGGAGTCAACTAATTAGTGTTTAAAAATAGTTCTGTTGTCAATAAAGCCATTGCAAGACAAGGGATCAGTAGCATTAGTGGCTTCATCAATCTGTTTAAGTGACGACATTTTGTAATTCAGACAAAGGTCATTCTTACATTAATGTTCCACTTGGCTTCATTAAATCATCCCCACGACAGTGACAGAGGACAAAGTTCAAGTTGCTGCTACTATGCAAAAGACTAAATTCAACTGCAAGCTTATCAAACTATCCAATTTACTTTGGACTTGAGATTTATATTAGCAAGCAAGTTTACTACTCAACAACCACCCATAACATTAACTTTATTGATGGCAACAGCACGACCACAAAGACAACAGAACTCTGGGCGACCTTCTTGTTCCTCCGAAACCATGTTGCTCGTTGAATCTGCGTACCTGTTCATTAATGTGGCGACATACAGCTCAGACTTGTGTAATGTTGAAAGCGATACGGAAATGTTACTAGATCTGATTGCTGTCCTGACTTCTATGGAAAAGTGAGCAGGATGCTTGTTCAGACATGAAAACGACACGTTGAGATACGTCAGATTTATGGAAAAGAGTGCATTTCTGAAAGGGGCTTAATAGGGACACCAAATTACATGGGACAGAAGATCGTTGATGCACAGCGACATAATGATGATGGAGTACACTTAAAGCACTGTGATGAATACATGTCCTGTCCTGGCCTATTGCAGCCTGACACAAACTATCATTCACTCACACGTTAGCGTCGGATAGCGAGTATGGCCACATCTTCCAATCACTTAATTGTGTGTGACACCACTTTAAAGAGTTTAAGAGCTCTGGTCATATCGGACGTCTTTTTTTCCACCCACATTAGGTTATAGTTGAGATAACAAATTATCACTTATGACAAATGATGTTTGGTTCTTAGAAGATGACAACCTGTAATTTGTGATATTCCTGTTTAACTGTTCTACAGTCTTATCTTTCAAGGCCAGATTCAAGGACCTGTGTAAATGTTCGGAATAACCAAAGCACAGCTACAGCTTCAACATGTTTTTGTTTTAAAGTTCCATCAGCTCGTTCTTTGACACATTATCCCGTCATACAGAGATAGACGTCTATTTGAAATATGCCTCCAGTACAGGGGCATTTAGTTTTCTGAACTTTGCGTTGCTATCTTGTTTGGCAGCATTCATTCAAGGCAGAATTTTCACTCTTGGATTTCTTAGTAATGAGACTCAATCGGTGTAACAGCTGTAACTAGTGATCCGTAGATTGAATCTTATCCTTGTGCATGTGATCCAGTATCTCACCAGAGCGTCAAATTGATTTTTCCATGCAAACAAACAGTGACTTTGGCTTTGAGGCCATTTTGCCATTGTTGGACCATCAAATATTTCTACATGAGCAGGTACTGGTTTTGCAAGACTCGTCTGCCTTGTGGCCAAATATTGCTCACTGACTTAAAAAAGAAATCCAGACTTCTGCTCCAGGGTGTGATTCGTCAGCTTGGGCTGCTTGTGTTTTCACCAACATACTTGCCACGCAGATAGAGATGGTTGATAGCGGAGACTACATGGAACAAGATCAAGACGTACTTTTCTGTATAATAGCTGCAGTAGTTCACACTCAGCTGTGTTTAACATGATGCAGAGGATGCAGTGAGTTCGTTTTTCAACTTGGTGAGGAAAAAAGAGCAAAGTTTGTATGTTGCTTTTCTCAGCAATTTAAAAAAAAATCCTAAATTATTAAGAACGTAGACTTTTCTAGTCTATTTTTGAATACAAGCTTTGATATTTGGTATTTTACTATCCTACTTATTCATATTTTCTCTTATTTAAAGGGAAAATTAATACTCAGTTTTTCTTTTTTTTTTTTAAATAAAATACTCAAATTGCAGTGCTTTAGTGGTTATCTAATTCAGATAGCTTATGTTGAGGTTAGGAGAAAGCCTGTACACTACATATTCTCTTTTTATTGCCATTTTAAAACAGCATTTAATGAGCAGACTTTGACTTTAACAAGACATTAGGAGGATTTTACCCAGTTCCATCTTCTGCACGAGACAAACGGGGAAAATGCGGCAGTTGTCTGCATGGATACATGGCTCTGACCTGAATGTGTCTGACCTGGTTATTGAGACTTGGCAAACTGCATCTCACTCCCTCTGTGTTTCTCACTCACATGAACAAACACACAAACAGACAAATGACTCTATCCGTAGTCTATACCTAGTGTACTGCCTCTCTTTATGGGGGAAGGTATCATCTGTCAATCAGGGATGTCACCGAGAGAACTTCTTTTAATATTATGGACAACTCTGTTCATTATTTCAGCTAAATATATTAAAAGAAACCTCTTCACCTAATTCAGTACCGCTGATTTTTACCTTCACTGTGTGCTGAGATGATTTTGCATTGCTATTGCTTTTTTATTTCTGCCTTAATCGAATAGGCATTTTACAGTTTTCTTTCCCCATTGTTGGCCATCTGTGGGAGCAGCCTAGATCATGAGCAGGCAGCCCTCCAGGTCTTTTTAAGATCTAAGAGTTGAAAACAAGACAAGCAGCATTGATCTGAAATGCTTGAACTCACTGTTCAATCCGCATACGAACACTAATGCTGTGCTGTTCCTGTATTTCACGGTTCAAGATAAACTCTAACTGAGAAAATGGTAACGGTATGTATTCAAAGTGCCACGTGGGAGTGATATTGAAGCAGAACAGATGACGCTCTTGACTCAGCATCAAATGCCAGGCACAATGAACCCGAGCGCCTTATGCTTACTGCTACTGTTGTGGCTGTCACATGTTCTTCCACAGAAAAACGATATTTATGTATGCCAATCCAATTTAGATAAAACAGCATTTGAAATCTGAAAAAAAAAAAAACAAAGAAAATATAGCCTTCCTCACAGTTTTGCAGGAATGGCTCGCTCTAATGTTTTGTGTGGAGAAAATCATGTATTTACATGAATGTTGTAGGATGGCCTTTATTCATCACCAGAAAGAGCAAAATATTCAGGTTTAAATGCAATGCAGTGCCCTGTTTTGCCAACACTGGATATTTAATTACAACTGGCTGTTGTTAGTTTACACAGTCGGAATACTACACATCAGGAAGACATTTTATAGTTTTCACGGTTTGTAAGGAGGTGTTATTGTTTTACATTGGTTTTTAATTATTGCTGGGCATTGCATTAAGATGATTGCTCAGCTGCTTCGGAGCACCAGTTAATTGGATCAGTTCACCCAATCAATAGTAGTTATGATTGTTGATTCGAAAATATGCAATATGATAAAAATCAAACAGATAATGTTTAAAGTTAAAGTTGTCAAATATCTGTTTATTGCTTTGGCAGCCAAATTCCTGCCTGTCCAGGTAATTTGTTCATTGAAACATACACTGCATAACTTCTTGTGTAAATAAAACCCTGCATACTATAAAATACTCAACTTCATAAGAGTCTATGCCACTTTTTGGGTCTTGTCAGTGCAGAAATGAATCCCAGGGGTTCATATTTAACTGGATCTCATATTT